CAGCTGTTCGCGCCTGCGCGCCCCGGCACCTCCTGGACCCCACCCGGGCCCGGGACCCCGCACCTGGCGGCGGGGCGCCGACCCCCGTCCGGACTCCCGGCCCGGGCGTGACCCCCACCCTCAGCCTGGTCCTCACGCAGCCGCCCCTCGTTTCATACCCTGGCGGCTCAGCGCGCGCCCTCCGCGGGAGCCAGGCCTGGGTCGGACCCACACGCGAACTGTGACCTTGGGCCACTGTCAGCCCCGGCGGCCTCAGTTGACCCGTGTGTGAGCCTCCGACTCCTTGGTCCTGTTCTGCGGGATTAACCGCAGGGGTATACAACTCTGCTACAGTCTAGCACCCAACAGCCCCCCAGAAACGCGAACACACACCACTGTTACCTTCGTGGCATTTGTTAACTGTAGCAGCGCCGGCACAGAGGGCCCAGGCTGCCCACTCACCTGGATCAAGGCCAAAGGAACCCCAAAGGAGCCTGGCCAGCTCGCCGTCTGAAAGCAAGCCAGCCTTCAGCCGCCCATCCTCCCACCCAACCCCCACCCACCCACAGGAGCTGAGTACTCCTGTTCCCCACTTTTATAGAAAAGGCTCCTTCAAGTTCCAGGCCTTGCCCAAGGTCACAGCACTGTGCTCTTAGGGTTACGGTGGTGGGCTGAAGACCCAGTGGGGCAGTGTGTCCATGTGTTCAGCAAGCAGAGGAAGCGGTCAGCGTGTGGGTTTCTCAACACTGGCTCTGTGGACATTTGGGGCGGCTGATTCCTTGTGAGGGACTCGTCTTGTGCCTTGAAGGACATCTCTGGGCTCTGTCCCCGGACTATTGCATTTCTGCCTTCAGTTGCAAAAATCAGAAATGTCTCCAGCCATTGCCAGATGCCCCTTGGGCAGATTGTCAAAATTATCCCCAGTGGAAAGCCTCTGATTGTGGATTCCTATCTTGTTAATTAATTATGCAAGCCCTCTTGTGTGCCCCTTCAAGCAACTCCTGGTGGTCTTTTTTTTTTTTTTAAAGATTTATTTATGCTTACAGAACTGGGGTACAGGCCAGAGGTGTGGGGGTGAGAGGATTCACCAGAGACAGTGGGGAGCAGAACAGTCAGAGGTACTGAAACACACTGCTGAGGGGAGCAGGGGGGAGACAAGAGAGTCTGCTGTGCGGTGTGGGTCAGCTCCCTGGCCGGGGATCAAACTTGTGCTGCAGGGGCTTGGAAGAGCTTCATAGTGTGGTGCTTTCACCCATTGTGCCACCAGGGAGAGCCCTGTTTTGGGTTTTTTGATTACACTTTAGTACAAGTATATCCCATCAACTGTGTAGGCCAGTATACTAAATAAATAAATAAAGGCTGATTATTTTCAAATTTGAATTTCTGATTTAATTGTATCCCTCTCACCATCTTATCTTTTATCCCCTTACGTCTTATTCCCTTGTTTTTCTCCCTCTTCCCTGAGAACTTTTATGGTGTTTGAGGTCCACTAGTTTTTGTTAAGTATTTTACATTATGAAAGTGTCTGCTGTCTAAATGTTTAGTATTTTTGTCATTTTGACTTGCTGTGCTGTGAGTAATTCCTTCAGACTCCTTGCATGGTGCTGTATGAGATAATGACTGTATCTCATCTTTCTTTGTGATTGAGTAGTATTCCCCTAGTGTGGTTAGACCACATCTCTCGAGCGAGTCGTTTCTGAAGGAGATCAAGGCCGCGTCCATGTCTCACTTCTGGAATTGGAAATGGTGCACAATAAACATTGCAGAATGTGTATTTTTTGCATTCATGGTTTCATGTTCTTTGGGTACATGCCCAAGAATGGAATTGTTGTGTCATATGGTATTTCCATCTTTATTTTTTTTTTTTAAAGATTTATGTATGGCTACAAATGGCAATGTAATGGGATTCATCTTTTCCCACATTTTCTCTAGCATGTTGGGTGCATTTTTTTAAAAAAAGATTTATTTATTTATTTAGACATACAGAACTGGGGTACAGGCCAGAGGTACAGGGGCAGTGAGAGGATTCACCAGAGACAGAGTGGGGAGCAGAACAGGCAGATCGACGAAGTGCACTGCTGAGGGGAGCAGCGGGCAGACAGGAGAGGTCTGCCGGGCCATGTGGCTCAGCTCTGGGGCTGAGGATCTAGCTTGCAGTGCTGCATCCTAACCCGCTGCACCACCAGGTGCACTTTTCAATGTGTGCCCTTTTCTCTGGTGTGATGGCATTCCTGTGGATTCAGCCTGCATCTCTTTCTGGTAAGCAGTGATGAACACTTCATCCCTGCTTCTTGCTTGCAGCCCTGCGTCAGTTCCATACTTTCTACCAGTCTGCGGAGCTGCCGGAGACCCACCAGATGCTGCGTCAGACCTGCCGAGACTTTGCCGAGAAGGAGCTGGTTCCCATCGCGGCCCAGGCGGACAAGGAACATCGCTTCCCAGCGGCTCAGGTGAGAGCACTGACCTCAGCTGCAGGTGATGGGGGCTGCCCTGGGCTCCTGGAGGCCGTGTGGCCAGGGGCATGGGACTCCAGTCAGGGGACACTGGGGCAGGTCCTGGTACCTCCAAGGTGCTCTGTTCCCACATGAGGGCCTGTGGCCCACTGTACCTGGGTTTAACTTCGGGCATACCAGTGATCTCGACGGCTGGCTGGTGTGCTTCCTGCATGCCAGGCGTCACGTAATAGTAAAGGCAGCGCCCAGGCCTTTGGCACACAGCATTGCACTAGCACATGGCATGAGGCAGCTATTGTGTGGCTCACAATAGCCCTCTGAGGTGAAAGATGCTTTTACTATTTTCCCTCTAGGATGTTGTTGAAATGCAGGCTGATGAAATGGCTAAATACTGTGCCCAGGGTCACGGAGCCAATGTGATGCAGAGCTGGGCTTGAACCCAGCTCCACAGGGTCCTGGGCCCACACTCCCCGCCCGGCCACGCGTCCTTCCAGCTGTGTCAGCCTGTTGCTGTGAGAGGCTCTCTGCCTCCCCTGGCAGTGTCTTTAGCACGTAGCATTTATGCTCGTAGATGTTTGCTTTTCAGCCTGAGGGATTCCACAGTCATAGCTGCCATTCACATGTCTTGCAGGCCCAGGGCCAATCGTGAGTACTGTGTGCTCGGGGAGTGGCCATGTGCCTGCACTGGGCCCACCCATGGAGCGCAAGGCTGAGTGGGCAGTGGCGTCAGGCCTGAGAATTAGTGGGGCAACTTTTAGGGGTGAAGAGTTTCACATGCAGCATTTCATTGCATCGTACAGACATCACCACCTCCAAATCGGGTCTCCATTTTGCTTCCTGGAATGCCTGCAGGGACCAAGTGAGATAATGTAGACCAAGGTTTTAGTCCCTGGCCCTTGAAAAAAGGTGGCTATTAATGCAACTGTCGTTGTTTTCCTTACATTTGAGGAGATGGAAGCTTAGCGATTCCCACCCCATCCCGCTCCCCAGGTTTACTGGTTTGTGGAGCTAGAATTCATACCACAGGTCTGACCACCTCCAAACTTCTCCATCCATGGTCCACGTGGTTGTCCCAGAACCTCAGTGGGCAGGTGGGGGACCCCGGGGTAGGGCCTACGCTACCCGCTGCCTCCCGCAGCTGCCCCGCTGCCCTCATGTCCTCCCCTGGCGCCTCCCCACGCCTGGCGCCTCCCCCCGCCTGTGAGTGCCACTCCGGGAACGGGAACAGACAGCCTGCGTGAGGCAGGAGAGGCCTTTAGCCATTGAGAAGCAGGAGGCCCTGCCCCGCTGTGCGGGGAGGGTGGGTGTGGGGTTCTTCCTGCCAGACAACAGACGGGTTTATTTTTCCTTGTTATTCCTGAATTCCCTCAAACTTTTACTGGCATTATAGATGCAGATTTTCACTGCACCACTGCACTGGGAAAGAAAGCCCACAGCAGAACCTACTTTTACCACTCTGGTCTTTTTTTTTTTTTTAAAGATTTATTTATGCATACAAGAACTGGGGTACAACAGGCCAGAGATGTTGGGGCTGATGGTGAGAGGATCCATTAGAGACAGTGGGGAGCAGAACAGGCAGATACTGAGATACACTGCTGAGAGGAGCAGCGCGCGGTCAGGAGAGGTCTGCGGCGCCCCATGGTCAGCTCCCTGGCCGGGGACTCAGCTTTTGCTGCAGTGGGTGCCGATAGCTTCACAGTGCTTTGACTCAGCCCCTTGCACCACTAGGGAGGCCTCTACCACCCTGTTCTTAACTGGCCCTGTGGCTAGGCACCTCCTGCTTCCTGACAGGCTGTGGGGGGAGATAAAGCCTACGAGCTGCTCAGTGGCAGTGAGTGCTCCTGGCGCGCCAGTCACCATGCAGGCCCCGGGGACATGTCAGGCAGCCCTGGACTGGCGACAGAGCTGCTCTTTGAGGAAGGTTGTAGATCTGACAGCATCACACAGGTAATGTTGGTCATAGAAAAGCAAGAAGACAGTGCAGAGTCCTCATTGCTTTTGCTTCTTTTTGAAGCTGAAATCATTTAAGAACGTGGCTATAGGGAACAAATGATTGAATTACCTCAGGCCGCCAAGGGTTGAGTTGTTTCTTCTGGAAGCTTGGTAGGTGCTGTTGAGGTCCCTGTTACCAAGCAGTTGGCTTGCTGTGCAGCGCACATAGAGGGTGACAGCCTGACACTGGGTTTGTGAGACAGGAACACGAGCAAATCAGTTACGGAAAGAAAGAAACATTACTATATTGCCTCCCTGGTTAAGAAAGGGAATGAGGCTGTAGAGGGTTTGGGGATTGGGACTGAGAACAAAGCAGTTAAATTTTATTGGGTAAGGAGAGGCCTAAGGGCAAAGACCTGTGAACCTGGCTCAAGCTTACTAGCTGGTTTCAGGGCAGCTGGGAAGTAAGGTGGGCTTATCGCTGGAGATCTCCGCTTGTTGGGGGGTCTGGGAGCCCCTCCCCCGCCCTGTGCCTCTGCCCCAGCCGGCCTGGACAGAGTTAGTAGCTGCAGATGAATTGCACTTGTTAATACAAACCTCAAAGAGAAGGTGAAATAAGTTTCTTTTTCTGTGTTCTGGGGTCTGAAAGCAATCTAACAATTTAACCTTTGGGTAGACCCGTTTCTCTGATGGAGACATGTGCACAGGCTGAGGGCTTTGTCCTCAGAGGCCAGAGCTCTGCAGTGTGCCAGCATGGGTAAGGTTCGGGAGCCCTTGCTGGCTTAGTTCCAACTTCTCCACTTACTTCTCTGGCCCCGCCTCTGAGCCCCGCTTTCCCTACCTGACCGGGGGTGTCTCCCAGCTTCACTCCCATGGAGCTTTGGTGAGACGCAGATGAAGGCCGGTACATAACTGCCCTCCCCGGTGGTGCGGCTGGTTAAAGCACAGCACTGCCAGCTAGGCGCAGCCACTTCAGTGCAGGTTCGATGCCCTGCCCCGGAGGTGACCCACATGGCCCAGCAGACCTCTCCTGTCTCGGAGCACACTGGTACTTTGTCAGTCGGCCTGTTCTGCTCCCCACTCTTGCTCTGGTGAAGCTTCTCACCACCCCTGCACCTCTGGCCTGAACCCCAGTTCTGTATGCATAAAAATATAAATCTTAAAAAAAAGGATACATATCACTTAACTGGGGAAAAAAAGACTGAGTCTGGCTTAGATCAGGTACTTGACAGTTAATCGGCATTGTTGTTACCTAAACCAGAAATCCCCACGCTCAGTATTCATTTGTTCAGTGACTGAAAATCCGCAGGCCCCCGGAAGCCAGGGAGAAGACCTTCATGGACACAAGCACAGTAACAGGTGTGAAAGTCCAGCGGCATAGCAGGCACAGGTGACCAGGAGCGTGCTTGAAGGATTTACTCAGTGAGGTCAGAGTGGCAGCCTGCAAGGAGTGATGCTTGAGCTGAGCACCAAGAGGCCGTGAGGAGAGAAAAACTAGTTGATCGAGGCTGGGATGGACCAGAAACGGCACAATAGAGGCCCTGCAGGAGGAAGGCCAGGAAATGCGTGTGGTGGCTCTGTCCTGGGGACTCCTGTGCCTTCTTGCAGCTCCTGCTTGTGGCTGGGGCAGGATGACTTGGAGGAGTGAGGATGTCTGCGGACCTTAGCTGAGGCTGGGTCTTTGGTGTCTGGACTTGGGGTGGGGCTGGGGCTGTGGTTGGGCCACATGACCTGAGTTCCTGCAGGCACTGGCTTGGGGCAGGAACATTTGGGGTCAAGAAGGGTGGGCACAGGCCTCCAGCTTCCCTGACTGTGATATCTTGCCCTGGGGCCAGGTGAAGAAAATGGGCGAGCTTGGGCTTCTGGCCATGGATGTCCCTACTGAACTAGGCGGTGCTGGCCTCGATTACCTGGCCTATGCCATTGCCATGGAGGAGATCAGCCGGGGCTGTGCCGCCACTGGAGTCATCATGAGTGTCAACAATGTGAGTCCCCCTCGCTGGCGCCTGGGACACTCACGTGGGGGTTGGCTCTCTGGCCACAGGTTCCCGACATCCCAGCACCTAACAGCCAGGCCTGGGCTCCCAGCCCCTGATCACCTGGACTTGCTCCTTTGGCAAACAGGCCTTGGGGTGGGTCCCTGGCAGCAGGGGGACCGTGCTTGAAGGCCTCTGACTCTCCTCTGTCCCCAGTCCCTCTACCTGGGGCCCATCCTGAAGTTTGGCTCCAAAGAGCAGAAGGCACAGTGGATCACTCCTTTCACCAATGGTGACAAAATCGGCTGCTTTGCCCTCAGTGAGCCAGGTACCGCAGTGGGAGGGGCCCACCCCGCCGCCTCCCCCCGAAGCAGGGTGAGGACTCAGGCTGGAGCTGGTCACCCTCGGGGGGAGGCCGGAGTTGTAACTGGTGCTTTGCTTCCTGAGGCAGAGGTCAGGCTCTTGGTGAGAGTGGGTCTTGAGCTCTGGAGGTCTCGGGGCATGCGGTTGCCTCAGCTGGGCTGGGGGGACCTTTGCTCTGGGGTGCAAGAGCCCCCACATCCTCTCTTGGACCAGTCCTGAGAGCTGCTTGCTGGTGCAGCCCTGAAGCCCTGGCTGTGATGTCGTCAGGCTCCCCCGCGAGGGCGGGGTGTCCTCTGCTGAGCGGGTGGCGGGACCCTGCGGGGCTGTTGGAGGGGTGTGGGGTGCTGGGGCCTCAATCTGTGTGTGGGGCAGGGAATGGCAGCGACGCTGGAGCCGCCTCTACCACTGCCCGGGCAGAGGGTGATTCCTGGGTCCTGAATGGCACCAAAGCTTGGATCACCAACTCCTGGGAGGCCTCAGCCACCGTGGTCTTTGCCAGCACAGACAGATCCTTGAAGAACAAGGTGGGGACGCTGGACAGGTCACTGAGGTCTCTGCCGAGTCATTTCCCAGGCTGTAGGCTCCTGGCCCTGTGGGGCTCTTACTGCTCAGGCACCTCAGGGCTGGCCCTTCCCCTGCCGGCTGCCATTGATCGTCACCGTCCCCAGAGGAGCCAACAGAGGGCATCGCCGCCCGAGACTGAGGGGTGGTGGTAGGGCCTGGGGTGCATCTGGTGTGTTTGGTAAGGGTGTGGCACAGGGCAGCCTGCAAAATGATCTCGGGGCCTTTCAGGGCATCAGTGCCTTCCTGGTTCCCATGCCGACGCCTGGGCTCACGCTGGGGAAGAAGGAAGACAAGCTGGGCATCCGGGGGTCATCCACAGCCAACCTCATCTTCGAGGACTGTCGTATCCCCAAGGACAACCTGCTGGGGGAGCCAGGGATGGGTTTCAAGATAGCCATGGTGAGCTTGGTAGTGCGGGGCAGCCCGGGGAGTCGGCTCCAGCTGGCCTGCCGCTGATCCCGGTGTCCCCACAGCAAACTCTGGACATGGGCCGCATTGGCATCGCCTCCCAGGCTCTGGGCATCGCCCAGGCTGCCCTCGATTGTGCTGTGACCTATGCTGAGAATCGCAAGGCCTTCGGGGCGCCCCTCACCAAGCTCCAGAGCATCCAGGTAATGAGGTGGGGTCTCCAGAGGGCTGTCGCTGTTCTCATGTCCTCCTCCCTCCGTCCCGCTGCTGACTGGTGGGTGGGGCTGGGCTGTTGCAGTTCAAGTTGGCGGACATGGCCTTGGCCCTGGAGAGTGCCCGGCTGCTGACATGGCGTGCTGCCGTTCTGAAGGATAAGAAGAAACCGTTCATCAAGGTGCCTCCAGGGAGGGCGCTCCCCAGCATGGTCTGGGTGGGGGCCCAGTTCTTTGGATCTGGGGTGTTTTGCTCTGGAAGGAGGTTCCCTGCTGTTGAGCCTTGTGTTGGGGAGGCCCCCTCAAGGTAAGGCTTCTCACTCCACTCCCCTGTGTTTAGGAGGCAGCAATGGCCAAGCTGGCAGCATCAGAGGCTGCAACTGCCATCAGCCACCAGGTGAGTGTCCCCACTGCCTGGATGTGGTGCTTGGCGAGACCCCGAGGGTTGAGTAGTAGTAAGCGTGCATCCTGCCCATGGGTGCGGTCTTCTCTCTCCTAAGCCCTGGCTTTCTACTGTAGGCCATCCAGATCCTCGGTGGCATGGGCTACGTGACAGAGATGCCAGCTGAGCGGCACTACCGCGATGCCCGCATCACTGAGATTTACGAAGGCACCAGTGAGATCCAGAGGCTGGTGATTGCTGGGCACCTGCTCAAGAGTTACCGGAGCTGAGCGCGTCTGGGGCTGGTCTGCACCCCATCCAGGAGCTGGGCTGGCAAGAGCATTGAGGGAAAAGGGACGGGAGCCTTGTGACCTTAACCCTGACTCCCAGTCAGAGGCGGGTGGCCAGCGGGGCCGTCCCTCCTCTGTCAGGACCCCCAGCCTCCGTCTTGTGGTCTGGACTGGCTGGAAGGGGCTCTCGGTGCCCTCACCTCTGCCACCCTGGCCCAGTGCCTGGGAGGAAGGCCCTGGGAGGAGGACAGTGCCGGAGGACACCTGTCCAGCTCAGTCCCTGACATGACTCCCTTTTCACCACTGTGCCTTACTTTCTTCATCAGGGTGGAGGCCAGACTAAGTGGTCAGATGGGGACGCCCCAGTCAGGGGTCAAAGGAGTGGGGCCAGAAGGGCCAGGCCCCAAAGTAGTGGCAGTTTTCAGCCTCCAGAGACCCTGGTTTGGGGAAGGCCGTGGACCTTAGTCATTCTGGAAGCTTCCTGAACCTTATTTGTCAAGTACAATTCCAGCAGGTGGGTGGTCTGATAGGGTGGAACTGGCTGTAATAAAGTTCATCTGTGTCCTGAGCGGCCTAATCTCTGCCTTGCCTGGCGCTGCGGGCAGGGAAGGTGGTCTTTTCTAGCTTTTTGGGGCGGGGCGGGGCGGGGCGGGGCCGGGCGGGAGTCAGGGGTGATTGGGCCTGCAGGTAGGAGGGAGGAGGCAGGTGGGCTAGGGGAGAGGGGAGGGGCCAAGCTAAGTGGTGCTAAGCGCCCTTTTGCTGGCTTGTTGAACCGCTCCAACGGGAGTGCGCTGGGGAGAGGGTCCCAGGCTGGCTTTGGGTGACAGACCCTCTGAATCCGGCCCAAGCCTTTGGCTCCTGGAACCCAAGAGGGAGCAGCTGGAAGAGAAACCTGGCAAAGACGCGGCAGGGGTGGCGGGATAGCCGCAGCAGGAAGGCCTGGGAGCTGGCGCGTGCTCCCGGGGTGAAGGGAGGACGGAGGCCCCCCGTTTAGGGCCGCGTCAAGCGGCCCGACGCCGTGGGCCGTGGCCGTGCGTGGCCTGGACTTCTCTGCGCGGCCAGGCACCGCACCCCAAGGAAGCAGCAGTGATTCACCGGGAGGGGGGCGCGGGCACCGCCCTGGCAGCCGGAGCCCAGGTTCCCACACGAGGGCCTGAGGAGGGACTCGAGATCCCGCGGGGCGCACTTGCCGCCACCCACTCAGCGCACCACTCAGCGCACCTGGCGGGGAGGGCGGAGGCGCTGCCCACCTGATCGGGATCCGAGCTCAACTACCTCCAGCTAATCCCGACTAATCCCTGCCACCTGTGGATATCCGAAGTCCGCCTTGCCAAAAGCTTGCGGTCTGGCATCTGGCGGCCCTGCGGTGAGCTCTGCCTCCTCCTGCCCCAGGTAAGTGCCCAGAGGGTTCTTCCCTCGCCAGGAATTGCCAAGGCCAGAGGGCCAGGCTGGGGAGGGGTCAGCTAGGCTTCGCGGGAGGCTTCGGCCCTGTAGCCAGGTTGGCTTGGGAGGCTCTGTGGCAAAGTGGGAAGGAGGTGTTGAGCAGGCACAGGCCCTCTCCTGTTGAGGCCCGGCTGCCGGCCGGCGGGCGAGGGGGCTGTGGAGTGGTAGTTTTAGCTGCTGTGGCAGTGTGGAGGGGAGAGGCTTCAAGTTCTCGAAGTTCTGAGGGGAGCAAAGAGCCCAGCTGGCCCCCTTCCAGGTTGGGGACAGCCTGAACCATGCCTGGAGGCCTCAGGCCCACCTATCTGCCAAAAGCTGCCGGCCTCAAGGGCCAAGTCTGCTAGGGGCCAGAGCCACCTGTTTCCCACCAGGGCAAAGGGCAGGCAGTGAGCCCAGTCCGGCAAGGTGCAGGCTGTGTGCCCGGCGGTGCCCTGGCCCTGCACCTGGGTTGCGCAGCACAGGTCAAGGGCCTGGGGGCCGGGCCAAGGTCCTGTCTGCTCCAGGGCCTCCCCGAAAACAACCCTGGGTGTCCACAGTGGCAGGCCTCTGTCCTCAGAGTCTCCCGACCTGGACTCAACCCTTGGGCCTGTCGGAAGCTGAACTCTGTGCTAGTGGGTTGCAGACTTCACCCCCTTTGTGTCAGAATGCAGCAGGTGTGTTTCCCAAAGACCCCGCCTACCCCATGGGCCGGGCACAGCGGGGAAGGCTGTGACCTGTCGCCAAGGGCCTCACCCTGGTGGTCTCAGAGACACTTGGCCGGGGCGGGGGCTCGGGCTCCACCTCCTGTAGCCAGACCTCAGCCTCCGGGGTCAGCTGGCAGGTCCAAGTGCTCCCCAGGAGGCCACTTTGCTGGCCCTTCCCGCCCCGCGCCCCTGAGCCATCGCTGGCTTTGACTGCCCGCAGTTTGCTCTTTCTCTCCATCTGAGTTGCCGTTGGTCTTCCTCCAGAACGGGTTTAGCATTTTTGACAGTTTTGTGTTTTTAAAGGTAATTTTATTTGCTAATAAAATTGTTTCCTACTTTTTAAAAATTGGGTGTTCTCTGTCAGTGTCCTGGGATTCATTGATATTTTCAGTCTCTTCTAATAAGTGAATGTAGAGTTGTGCATTTCTCTAAGCAGGTTTTAGCTTAATTTCAATAGATTATTTTCATGATCAGTTTTGAGCTCCATTATCTTTTCTCCTTTGATTTACCAGTTACTTAGAAGAGCATTATTTTAATAATATGGGCTGTTTTTTGTTGCTGATTTATAAAGAATTTGGTAAAAGTTCATCCTCTTAATTTTTTTTATGAAAAAATGTACAATTTAGTGGCATTTCGTACATTGACAATGTAGTACAATCATTTTCTCGATATTTTCAAAAGAAAACCCCATACTCACTGTTAGTGATATTTCCCCCTTAACTGAATTGTGGTCTCAGAACATTTTCCGAATTATTTAATTTCTCTGAAATTTGTTGCTATTTGTTTCATGGTCTTAAGTGACTTTTTTGTTAAAAAAACAAACATTTTAGCGGCTTTCCCTAGCGGTTGACACATACAGCTCTGGTTTATTTATTTTGTTGACTGCCTTGTGACTCTTTAGTCCACATTTAGGTTGTTTCCAGTTTTTCACTGTTAGAAACCATGGCACAGGGAATGTTCTAGAATGTGTCTGTTCCTGTGTGAGAACTCCTGGGCATTTAAGAAGTGGGCTTCCTGGGTCTTGGGCTGTTTGCACCTGTTCCTTTACCGGGTCCTGCCAAGCGGCCCCCACAGCAGCTGCACTGTCCACTAGCTCTGGACTGGCAAGTTTTGCTCCCGGATCCTGTCAGACTTCATGCCTTTTCCTCACCTGTGATTTTTAAAATTTATTTATGCATATGAGAACGGGGTATAGGTGGGGGCGGGGTGAGAGGATCACCAGAGACACAGGTGGGTCTACCGAAGTACGCTGCTGAGGGAGCAGTGGGCAGACAGGAGAGGCGTCCTGTGGGTCAGCTCCCTGCCGGGAGCTCGCATCCATTGCACCCCCAGCGAGGGCCTGCTGATTTAAGGTGCATGTCTCAGGTTGCCGGAGGGCTTGAGGCTGTTTTCATATGTGTTGGCCATGAAATGGCACTTTGGTCCTCCGTTTCTTCCATGGAAACTTCGCTCTCCCTGGTTTGTGATTGTCGGGTGCGTGGGCGCTACAGAGTGTGGTTGTACTGAGGGCGGGAATCATTTGCTGGACAACAGCAAGAAGACTGCTTTACTTTTTCAAGAGGTTTCACATTTGAATTCTACTTTGAACCTTAAAAAATGATTTCAGGAATTTTATCTGTACAAACATTTTTTTTTTAAATTTTTTTTTATTTATTTATTTGTGCATACAGAACTGGGGTACAGGTCAGAGGCTCAGGGGCGGTGAGAGGCTTCACCAGAGACAGAGTGGGGAGCAGAACAGGCAGATTGACGAAGTACACTGCTGAGGGAAGCAGCGGGCGGGTCAGGAGAGGTCTGGCTCGCCATGTGGTCTCCTCCCGGGCGGGAGGCAGGCGGGGATCGAACTCATGCGGAAGTGGCTTCAGATTCTCAGTGCTGTGCTTTAACCCGCTGCGCCACCAGGGAGGGCCTCTGTACAAACATTTTTAAAAAAAAAATTTATTCACACAGAACTGGGGTACAAGCCAGAGGTGCAGGGGAGGTGAGAGTCTCCACCAACGGCAGAGTGGGGAGCAGAACGGGCAGATCAGTGAGGTACACTCCCGAGGGGAGCAGAGGGCGGGTCAGGAGAGGTCTGCTGTGCCATGGGGTCACCTGGGCGGGGTGGGAGGATCGAACTCACGACTCACTTGCTGTGCTGTGTCCTAACCCACTGCGCCACCAGGGAGGGCCATACAGACACTTTTTAAACTTTATTCCTCCCCCCCCCCACCTTAAAAGGACAGGCTTGTTAGGAGGAGGAAAAGGGAGAAAGACCAGCACCTGCGCCAGGGCGGCCTGGCGAGGCGCCGCCCCAGGCATTCACACATAGCGCAAGTGACAGCCCTGGCAGGTTGGGTGCACCCCCCAGACTCTATGCCCCCTCCCCCAGGGAACGCGAGGCATTCGGCCCTGGCAGGTTAGGGTGCACCCCCCCAGATCTATGCCCCCTCCCCCAGGGAACGAATACCGGTTTACTTGGCTTCGTTTTCCCCTTCACGTGTGCCCACGTCAGTACATTTGAACAGCTCTCTTCACCCCCTTTTTAGTGCCTCCAGCCGGCTCAGCCCCTGGCAGACCCCGTTTCCCACGTCTCCCCAAGATGGCTCCTTTTTTCTGATCTGATGGGTGAAACTATAACTGAATGCTGAAGGCTTCAAGGGAGTCTGGGTGTACTTTGCGGTACGGACCAGCCTGTCCTGTGGTCCACGAGGCGCCCTCTGCCCCGCGCCGCTCCTCTGGCCTTACTCAGTCGCACAGCACCTCGTGGGTGGGCAGCCTGAGCGGTCCAGCGGCAGGCAGCTTGTCCTGCCTGCGTCTGCGCTAACTGCGCTCCCAAGCACCCGCCAGGCGTTACGCAGGTTCTCCACGCTGCGGCCTCCGGCTCCGGCCTCCAGCTCTGGCCTCCAGCTCTGGCCACCGCATTCTCTGAACTGCTCCAGCTGCTCTCTCTGAGCAGTAGAATGCTCGCAGGCTCACCCACAAGGTGTCTTGTCCATTTTGGCTCCTGTGAACCACGCTGCTGTGAACATCGTTTCCCTTTATGATCATGGTTTCAGTTCCGTGTAGCTAACGGTGCTGGGTCATAAGGCTTGTTGCTTTTTCTTTTTTTTAACATTTTTATTTACGCATACAGAACTGGGGTACAGGCCAGAGGTGCAGGGGCGGTGAGAGGATTCACCAGAGACAGAGTGGGGAGCAGAACAGGCAGATGGACGAGGTACACTGCTGAGGGGAGCAGTGGGGAGACAGGAGAGGTCTGCAGCACCCCGTGGGTCACCTCTGGGCAGGGGATCCAACTCGCCCTGCAGCAGCTGCGGCTGGCTTGTAGTGCTGCGCGTTAACATGCTGCTCCACCGGGGAGGGCCAAGGCTTGTTTCTAATAGGAACCTCTGCTTCCTTTGGTTCGTGTTTTCCGAATACATACCTTTCAATTAAAGAAAAGTCTTAAGATCAGTGTGCAATC